TTTGCTTTTAGTGTGATGTATGAGTAATAATACAAAATAATTCTATTTTCTGAGATTGAAACAGAAAGAATGTGAACATAATTGTTGCTATTCAATTATAAAGTGGGACATATATGGCTGGGAGATCATTGTTACTTCAGTTATAAGTATCTTTTTTTTCCTACAGTTGTTAAATTTTTAATCATCTTTGTGGAGGTGTTTGCCATTCTGATCTAGCCTACTCTACATTTCAGGACTAGAGTCTTTTTGAGTTACAGTGTCCTTTTCTGGAACAGTATTTGGCTTGCTAAATGTTTGCCTAATGCTGTTGCAAAACTGAGGTTTGTGTGATTGTCATATCAGACATGTACTTTCTAGTTTTTAGGAGAAGGAAGTTGGCATTCAGGGGGTAGTAGAAGGGCGAGCTGTGACTCTGTCCTTGGCTACTGGCCGTTGTGGGCTACCCACCTTCACCAACCTACTGCAGTATATGCATTTCCTTAAAATCAAGAGTTTTGAAAGATTCTGCAGTGTTGATTATTCTCTTCTGAGATGACCTTGGCCTAGGAGAGTTTCCAAGACATAGTATTTGGTGGCTGCTTTGCATTTTGTTTCTCTGTTTGCCTAATTCATTACTCACCAATCCTTATCCTGAAACCTGTAGTGTCCATTTTAGCCACAAAGAAATCTGGATATAGAAATGCTGCAAGTCTAAAGCACAAATTATTTTGCTGGGGCTTAATTTTTTTCTTTTTTTAAAGCCACTGTGGGGAGGAGAGATTAAATCCATGTTTCCTAGGTAATGACTATACTGATGTACTGTGGGCTGATGTCTTAATGAGGGGTGCCTTGTAGGTGACACTGTTTCCCTTGTTCTTATATGGCTAGATGTTGGGAGGAATATTATCCAGATTCCACATGGATGCCACTACAGAAGCTGGATACATAGTTGTTTCATAATATGAGGATCTATGCCCCTCACTGGCAAGAACTCTGAGGTTTCAATTCGGTATGCCTTCACAGAAAATATCTGAGTTACTTCTGTGGGAAATAGGTCTAATTTTGAAAGTTGTAAAATGACTCAAGTAAATAAAATAATACAAGAATGTCTGACAAATCTATTATGAAGTTCCAATATAGAAATGAGTGAGCTGGTTTTGTTATTGTGTATGTATTTTCGAGGAGAAATACTTAGATTGATGCAACCAGAGCAACCATTTTCTGTCCTTTATAATCTAAGGATGGTGTGAAATAAATAATTAAATTTACTTTGTTTAATATATGGTGCAAACAGGCACAGGGGCTAGAATTTACTATGCTGCCAGCGGCAGTATGTCGCGAGGTTTTGCCATGGGAAATGTAAGTACATCTGAGATGGTCTGACTCACCAGTGAGGGAACATAATGCTTCCCCTGATGTACAATGGATGGGAGAATGCATTGGGACAGTTAACTGCTGGGCAGTTGACGTTATTCCTGTGTTCGTGCTTAAAGCTGGTAGAATACTGGTAGAATAATAATGCTGTTTCTGTCCTGGAGTTTGTTACGGAACCTGTGATGCGCTACGACGTTGAGAGTCTAGACATCCACAAGTTCCCTGGCCTAGAATGATCCTGAGAATGAATTTTGTAAAGTTAGCCAGAATTGCACTGGCGTTGTTTTAGTGTGTCAAAACCTGTATGTCAAATCCAGAAGGCTTTGTTTGGCAAGTAGGAAGACTGGCTGTTGGGAGCTCTGTGGCCATCTTCTGGTTGTTTAGGAAAATGCATAAGCTATTTGCTCTCATTGAGCTGAGTAATAGTAGTCTAGCATACATTAAAGTGGTAGCATTTTATTTTCTTAGGACTGGGTATGCATTAGACTTGTCAGATGTGTGTTGTCCATTGAGAAAAATGTAAATTTTAAAAAAATGTCAATTTTTATTTTGTGTTACCTCTTCCTATAATTGTTTAAGGATGACAAATAAAAGAAGAAATGGTAGATGTCTCTGAAGTTTCAAAACTTTCATTCTTATCAGAACACCTGTTCTATAATTTCAGGTGTGTATAGCATATGAAGATATTGGAAGTTTTTAAGCTGCTATGAAGCCAGTCAGGAATAATGCAGCAGGCAGGGATTTTATGATTTGCCATTTCAAAAAGACCTGAACTTGTGTGGTACCTGCTGTTTTGAAAATCAATTTTATGCTGTTGAATTGAGAGCATGAAAGTCTAAAAATCACTTTTCAAAGAGGAATAATACCACTGAGTGGAAAGGCAATTAGGTATTGGATTAATTGTATTTTTTGCAGGAGAGCAGCAACAAATAAAACTCTTCTGCTAAGATCTGCACATGAAAGAGCTAGGCATTTTTAAGGCTCATGGAATTCTTATTAACAATGTTCATTTTTCTTTTGAAATAAAGTAATTTCCTGGTAAGATAGAAATTAAGCAGAATGTCCTAAGCAGAAAGTCTTTTCTTTACTGTGGAAGATAATAATTCTAGACTCAAAAGGGATTTTATTTCATTAAAACATGGTGCAGATGCATTTTGAGAGGTGGCTTTTTCATCAAAGATGATGCTATAATGCTGTAATGTTCATCATTTTTATTTCTCCATTCCTACCATTGTGCTGCTGCAGATTGCCATAGGGATAGAACATAAGGAACAGAAATCTAAGATAACTGTGTAAATAATGGTTTTAATAATCCATGCTGTTTTTTAAAAAAGGCATGAGAAACAGCTGGCTAAATATTTTAAGTACAAAAAAGCCATAAGGTACATGGCTAATACAGTGAGATATGCTTTTAGGCAATCTTCTTAATGTAGGAATGATAACAGTCATTAAAGTATAATAAGTATTAGTTTAATTGTTATTACATTGTCTGATAGTCATACTTCATTTAATCCTAGTGTGCCAGACCTTTCTTACAATCAGAGTACCTTGTTCTTCCAGTTCTGTTCAAAAACCAAGTTATTGACAGGCTGAAAAATGTTCCAGTTGAGAGAGGCTGTGCTAGCATGAACAGCCCCACTCCAGATTTGTTGCTGATCAGAGATGGCAGTAGTTGTGGCTGTGAAGCATTTCTGAAGGACTATGAAAGCATGTTCAGACCAATTACTTTATTGTTCCAGCACCCTTTTAGCACAGAGGGTCATTACACTCAAAAGCAGAAATAAGTGCCCTGAATCTGTCTGTGTAATTCACCAGGCAGCTGAGTGGGCTGGGTACTTGTGATGCCTGCTCAAAATTCAATACCCTTAATTATTTGTAAAAGGGAGGATTTTTACAGACATAAAATTGGCAGTTAGGTACCTAACTAATTCCCACTGTGAACCTTGTCTCTGAGCCTTAGCTGATGGTGGCAAGAAAACCTCTCACCCTATTAGTTGGAACACTGGGCTTTCTCATTGCAAAAAGTAAGAATGATAGGATTATTGTATAGTTGTCAATCGTAGTATGATATAAAACTATAGCAAATGTTGTCTGTGAGAAACAGCTGCCATGACAGAAAGGGCAAAGCATACTCCTTTATTTCTGAAGGATTTGCCTTTGACATCAGAAGACCTTCCCCAACAAAGGCAGGAGAACTTTCAACAGTCCCCTTCTTGTCCACTGCTCAATAACTTGAGGCAGAGCAATGATGAAGCTGCCCTAAAACTTCCATTCTCTATGTTCACCATCATGCAGAATCAGCCTTTAAATGCTCTAACCTGAGAGAAGTCAGAAACACTTGTTCCTAATGACTACTATTCTAACAAAGCCATTGGATTCAAGCTTGAACAAACAAGATGTGTCAATTTTTCTAGTATCAGAGCTTTTTCGTGGTCAGGATTAAGTTGTGATGAAAAAAGGCTGCAGTTTGAGGAAGTGACTAAATTGTTAGGTAAAAAGTTTTTAGTGTATGGACACATTGGTGATACCTATGGGTGTTTTTACCTTCAACCTGAAACATAGCTGTTTCCATTTAGAGTAGTTTAATAGAATGGGCTGTCCCTTTGTGTCTAGTATTCTGTGATTTTACAATGATATTTTCCTATTTAGAATATATAAAAAGTATAATTTATATTTCCTCTTTTACTGTGTATAAAAACCACAGAGAAAAAAAAGAAAATAACTCTACAAGGTACAGAGAATACAACCAAATATTTGTTGTCAAATATACAAAGTGAAGTGATGGGTTTAATTTTGGAAACCACTTATTTCTGGATATTAGCAATTATATGAACTGATTAGCAACCATCATTACCATTACATTGTAGAAATCTGGCTATTTTAAATTGTCAGTGTATTACCTGAAAATAAAGTACCTGATACTAACCTATCTGTCTACCTAAAAGCCAGGAGTATGCTAAGGGTTAAGAGAATAACAGACATCCTAAATGCTCCTGTATGATAATTATGACTATCTCGAGTTGCATTATCAGGATTCTGGATTAAAGTATCGGGGTTTTTTTTGTTGTTTGTTTTTTTTGTTTGTTTGTTTTTTGTTTGTTTGGGTTTTGTTTGTTTGGTTTTTTTTTTTAATGTTATGGTAATCAGAGGATTTAGAAAAACTGTTTTGCATTCTATTGTAAAACTTTACTTTGAGATTTTCCTCTCTAAATTCCATCTGTTTTCGTAGAATTGTTTCTACATTGACCCATGGAGAAAGATAGAAGAGTCATGCCCATGTTGCCCTGTAATTGCAGCGTGATGTTATGCATGCTGGTCAGGGTGAGATTTGCATAATAATGTGTCCATATGTAAATATTATGTTGCTGGTAGAAGTCTACTTAAGCTCATTGTCACTTTACTGCCATATCTGCTGTTTTAATTTCCATAGTTTTTTGAAAACTCATTTGATAATATTGCAGCTGAGGAAAGTTAAGAGTATATTATTTCGAGGCAATTTCACTAATGGAACAAAATATGGTATAAGGGCAGTTTGCAGAGAACAATACGTGAACTTTTCAGATTAATCCTTACTTTTATTTACTGTAGTAAAAGACATTTATAGAAATAGTGTTTCTAATTTTTTTTTTAATCTGTTTTCTTTTCAGGCATTGCTATTTCTGATGAACTTGATAAGGTAAGATTTACTGTATGCCTAATGAACAGTACAAAAAGACAGATGATTGTGATAATTTTAGACAATGAGAGCTGCATCTCCCTGACCTGGCATACACACTTCAGTTCTGTTGGGTTCAGAGGAAGTTTGGGAACGGAAAGCTATACAGATAAGTACAGTATACGTTAATACAAGAGCTTTATCCAGGATGGGCTGTCAACTATGGGAAAAAAAATCTCACTAAGTTTCAGAGACTCTGAGTGAGGCCATGGAAATGCTTTTGATCTTGATAATATCTTTGCTTATAATAGCCTGTTGGGTTACTTTGTGTACTTTTGGAAGCATTTAGTTTTAAATACCTTTTACTCATGAAGTAATGAATTCTGCATTCTCAGATATGATTTGTGAGAATATTGAGGAATAATTTTTTCTCCCCAGATTTAAGTCAGGAAGGCACAGGGCATAAAGGTTAGTCTTTACTTCCTTGCTGAATTCAACAAACAATGATTTCTTCTGTTTTGGCCCTTTTGATACATTGCACAGTTAACATGAATTTTAGTTTTAGCTGTAATGAACTCTATGCTGAAAGAGTAATCAAGCTTATTTTTCAAAGTTCCAGAGGAAACAGAACACCTTTATCTTCCCTGTTCTCACTAGTGAACAGCAGTGGGCTTCTAGTGCCAAGAATCTTACATTGCGTCCTTAGTGTCAGAAACCATTACTCTTGGGGAAATAAGAACAAAAGGTATATAAGACATAAGAATAATACCTAATATAGGAGACAATTTAAAAAATATCTTTCCTTTCTCCTGGTAAAATGAGAGCACTAACCTTTCTGACACAATTGCCTGTAAAATACCTCCACTGGGTTCTCCAGGAAAGGCCAGTTAGACAAGATTGATTATCGCACAGCCATGTACATGTGAGGCTGCCATTTCAAAACCATGGCCTTTACTTATAGTTTTGGCCTTGAACTTGCTTTACCTCGTTGTTCATACTGAGATTAACAGTATCTAAGTCTTCCTTCCTACTGTTTCCTTAACTGTGCTCAGAAGTGATGAGAAATACAGTTAGAAAGTCCTTGCATTAGAACCCTTACCTTTAATAATACTTATGAAGAACTCCTCTTCATTTGATTGTTTGTTAAAAAAAATATGAAATACTGTTTGTGGGAGGAAAAAGACATTTTGGGCTAGAGCCTGTTACCATGTACTTTTTATGTATATTTGTAAGAGATACTTGTGTGTTAATTTTTTTTTTTTTAAACAATGATAGATCTCTGTGGGCTTTAGTGAACTTCATTTCTATTTCTTGTTTTGCCCCTTGAGGATTTTTAATGCACATAAAGGCTGCTCCTGTGTTAAGAAATTAAGCATGGCCAGGACCATTCTGTGGAATCCTGTCTCCTAGGAATGTTCCCTTCCATGAGCTAATTCTTGAAATTTTCCTGTGACTTGTTTGTGTGTTATTTGGCTTGGGCCAAAAGCAACCAGACTACCTGATAATGGTTTAACATACGACAGAATTTGTTTCCGTTTCACCTGAGCATGTTCCCAGGCAATGTTTATTTTTTTAGGTATACATGTAGTCGAGTTCACTGCAATGCCTTTCCCAGAAATACATGCTGATACTACAGCTTCTTTATCTAGGCTGGAGCCGCACTGAATCCTTTTCCAAACCACATTCATCTGTGCTTTGGATTAACCATTTAACCCTTCAGGTGCATGTCATGGGTCTAGAACAGCATGCCCAAACATGGCATTGGATTCTATTAGAACACTGGCATTACACAGATGTCATGAGACACATAAAACTAAACACAATAATAAATTCTTCTATATGATCTTCCTTGCTTTATTTCTCTGATGGTCAGGAACATTCTTGGGGATTAGGACAGGGCCCATAATCCTGCTGTTTTATCTGTGGTTTAGATTATGAACCTGGAAAAACAGAGAATGCATGTGTATGTTTCTGTATTTTGTTTCTCATTATGTAAGTATTTTTTTAGAAAATTATTTATTTCTGGCTACGGTAACCTCTAGCTGCCTTTGTCAGAGGTGTACCTGCTCAGTATTGTTGGTTCATATAACTCCTCCTCCAGGTAATCTGGTTAATTAGTTAGTTGCTTAGTTACATGGGCATTTGGTTTTGGAAAACCAGTTTGCTCTGAATTACAATAACTTTTGTGGAAAGGTGTTTCATTTATTTAAATGAAATCCATTTGGATTCTTGTAAAATATCTGCTATTATGAGCTTTGTGCCAGTTAAGACAGAAGTAGAGAAAATCCAGGCAGAAAAGGTCAGTCTTTCAGTCCAAATGGAAGCTTTCTGTTTGACACAGTCTAATAAAATTTCTGAGTTCACTGATATCATTGCAAAAAGAAGTCCTAAGATATTGCAACAGATTTACTGTAAAGATTCCTTTCTTCTTTCGTTTCATTTACTTCAGAATTGCCGAGTTTGGTGTTCTGTCTTTCTTGATGATTCAGCCCATGTCCCTAGGCCCTGGAAGCTATTTAAAATCAGTAAGGAAAGAAAATGAGAAGGGATTCCTTGTGACTCACAGTTTTTAAGGCTAAAGTTCAGAATTAATATAATAAATTTTCTGAATTGACTCACCTTCCTTACCACTGAACAGAAACTATGCACGAAGGTGCAGTTTCCTAAAGCTCCTCAGTAATGTGAAGAATTTAATGTAAACAAAGAAGTTGAGCTAGGATGTCAGCCTTTGAACTCACAGAATTCTAGGCTGATTAAAAAATTATAGAAAAAACCACTGAATTCATTGTGAGTTTCAGTGTTGTTTTCTTAAGTCTGTTTGGAGACTTCCCTAGGAAGTGGAAGCTCAAATGCACACAGAAGTATAGAACAGCCATACCACTGAAACTCTGGTATCTGAGGTGAATGCTCTGACCATGGGGCTACTGATGATGTGCCTCCTCTAGAATTTGCTGCTGCTGAAGACCCTACTTCTCTATATGTCACAAAATAATATATGTTGCACTGTAGAATGTCTGCATTGTAAGGTGCATTGAGGCAAAATGTAGCCAGGATGCTACAGTGCAGAAATGTGCTTAAAATGGGTTTATACTGTTGTACCCATTTCAGCAAGGTTTCTGAACCAGGCCCTGCGAAAAAAAGGAGTTATGCTCTTTACCTCTTGCCATAGGTGGAGACTGACTAAAATATCATCATTTTAGAGCAATTTAAAAAGAGCTAGGGGAAGGTTTATACATCTTCTGGCTTTTGATTCTCTAAAGAACACTTAGTGAATGTTTTCGAAGCTTTTTTTTTTTTTAACTTCAAATACAGAGACTAACAATATTTTCTTTTTAAATAGATGGGATTTTCACATAATCCCAATATTCCGTGGATTGGTACTTTACTGAAGATTTATGCAGTGGACCTTTCAAGGTCTTAACAGTGTGAGATTTGTCCGGAATTCCCAACAATGTCTTTCCGTCACTTTAAACATTAATAATGGGAGACACCTAAGTGTTAGAGATCCAGAACCAGACTTGAGTGAAGATGATCTAATAATTCATAACAGATTTTGGCCCTCAATGTTAATATTAAAATATTTTTCTATGCTGTGTCTAGGGTGTCCTTCTTTCTTATATGTTGTATTACTACAGTAAATACAGTTTATAATTAGTAAAATAGAGGAAACTATTCTAACTCATAAAAAAATTTCTGTACACCCAAAAATATTTCTCACTGTGGAGGTTCCCTCAAAATCCATATTGGAAATAAGCAATACTGAGCTTTTTAAAGTATGCTTAAATAAATGGATACACAAATGTTGTTGTGCTCCCTGGTAGGGGTTGCATACTGCAACCACAGCTCAATGTGGAGATGAAATTGAGCTGTCCTCTAGCTCTGTCCTCTCCCTTCTGATCTCCACATAGAGGAAGCTTCAGTGTGTCAGTTTGGTAGCCACCAATGTGGATGATAAGTGGATGACACCTGAACTGCACCATAAAATAATCCTCTAGGTTCATTCAGTGCAGATTTAGTGCAGACCTGGCCATGAGGGATACAGAGAAGGCTGAGGTGCTCAGTGGCTTCTTTGCCTCGGTCTTCACCAGCAAGGGCTCTGGCTGCACCGCCCAAGTCGCAGAAAGAGAAGGGAAGAACTGGGAGAAGGAAGATCTGCCCACTGTAAGTGAAGATCAGGTTCTAGACCATCTGAAGAACTTGAATGTGCACAAGTCTATGGGACCTGACAAGATTCATCCATGGGTCCTGAGGGAACTGGTGGACACTGAGACACTGTCCATGAAGCCAGAGATCAGTTTAGGAAAGCTAAAGCCCTAACAGAATTAAATATGGCCAAGGACGTTAAGGGTAACAGGAAGAACTTCTATAGGTATATCAGTCTTAAAAGGAGGACTAGGGAAAATGTGGGCCCCCTCTGGAAGAAACTGGGAGACCTACTGACCCAGGATATAGAGAAGGGTGAGGTACTTAACGAGTTACCTCAGTCTTCACTGGCAAGAGCTCGAGCCACACTGCCTAAATTGCAGAAGCCAAAGGCAGTGACTGGGAGAAGGAAGAACTGCCAGCTGTAGGAGAAGATCAGGTCCGAGACTATTTAAAGAACCTGAAGGTGAACAAGTCCACGGGACCTGATGAGATACATCCATGGGTCCTGAAGGAACTGGCAGATGAAGTTGCCAAACCACTATCCATCATATTCAAGAAGCTGTGGCACTCTCGTGAAGTTCCCGCAGACTGGAAAAGTGGA